TACACAAACTTAAGAAACGACGAAACAAGTGCAATATCCATATCTTTCCTATACATTACCGGCTTATATTTTAGCATTCCTTGCTATTTTGCGGTTGCTATTTTAGCATTCCTTCTAGATAAAATATTATTCTAAGGGTTAAGTATACCTCTTAGGGCCGTGTTATAGAAAGATTTTTGAGCATAGCTAGAAAGGGATGTCATAGCGACATCCCCTTCTAACTGTACTCAAGTAAAGATCAACACTGACACCCATATTCTTAATCGCGTCCTCAAACGTTCCTCGACTCAAACTCATTCGAGGGCTCCTTAAGGAGTTCCTCCAAATAACCTCGAAAATGGTATTCTAGTTGGTATCTTGAACAAACTTGAGAATTCCTCCACTGAGAATTCCTCAACATTGTGACGTCATCATTTGGAGGATTTTATTTCTATAATGGTTAACAGAGGAAATATTACTTGTATGACTGTATCTTTTCTAAACCGAAATCTTCTTTGAAACGAATCATTGTCGTAAACCTTAAAAGGATTTGCGGCATCACGTAAATACCGTCGCGCCGGAAAATTATATGGTTAATCATCGTGTATGTGTTACTGAATAAATAAATCGTATACGTAATACATAAAATCCACAAATTCGTCAATAATCTCAAAATCAGACATAAAACTTGAAAACACCTTAAACACCACTCGAGGAAGCCTTAAGGTACGTCGAGAGCTACCTTGAGTTTGACAGTTTATTCCTCGACTCGACCTCCACTCGAGTGAGGAATATCTCAAGTGAAGGATATTTTTGTTGTCTAAGCATACGAATTTCCTCCATTGAGGTTGAGTCGAGTGGAAAAAATCTCGAGGAAACGACTAAGAATACGGGTGTGAGTTGACATTCTGTAATATGGACCTTAGTGTTGCTCCCACGAAAAATGCGATGCTATGCAAAAAATGGTAGCATATAAAAAATCGATTTTAATAATTTAGTAAAATCGAATTTTTATTTTCGGCACCGCTTTGAGCGCACACTAGCCTCCTAATTTTCTAATTTCAAAATCTACCAGGAGGCTAACATAAAATTTGCCATCTACACACATCTTTTAAATGTCAAATTAAAAGGCACCATGATAGTAAACATGGAGGTATAAGAATAGAGTAGGGGAGATATAGATTCTACTACAAATAGAAGAGTCCCTCTAATAGAAAGAGAAAGAAGATGAGAGACCGCTAGCTTTCTCCCTCTAATCGCGCATGCACATTGGCAAGCGTAAGCATCTTAGTATTTCGATGTGATACTTGGACCAACTATTGGACAGACGACTGCGCATGCGTCACAAGAGTCTCTAATTTTATTTCTCTTTCTTCTTGACGGACACTTTTAGAGCCGCCTTCCCACTCTATTCTTATAGCTCTATGATAGTAAATGACCTTAGACCAGTAGGCAGTTTTTTATGCGTTGATCACACCGGGAACCACAGTTTGTTCCACTTTTTGTTTACACTGCGATAGAGAGCGGGTGGGGGGCGCTCGGAGAGGAGGATAGGAGCATGAATATTTATTTAATGTGAAATGATCTTAAATTAAAACAAAAAGGGTAGATACGGTACGCTCATACTAGCATCAAATAAAATATGATCCGACTCAACTACATAAGCAACTCACACACGCACACGTCGATATAAAAACATCAATCGGGCGAGCGAGACAGAACTATATGCTTCAACGCAGCGTATTGTTGTCCTTTTCTGGCTTACAAAATGGCGATTACGTAAATAATATTCACGACAAACCGTGATTTTTGAGAAAAAAATGTTTTCACAGTTTTACGAATGAAAAGTGTTGCCGGGGCATTTGATTTTGAACTATTTGTATTCTTTATAAAAGCATCTAAGGCATTGCTATATCTTCATAACACAGAATATACGCAATATTGTTATATTGAGTGTACATGCAGCGTGTTTGAATGTCAAATTGTGACTAAAGCGAATTATGGTCGTGGACCACAATTTAAGCGGATCACTTTTGAGCCGCGAATGCCGTATCTTCCCTTTTTGTTTTAATCTAAGGAAATGTTGGACTTTATATTTGATTTCCAGTGTTAACCTTTTTTAAGCTATTCAATCAATTGCGGGACGCCAATTAAATTTAAAGGTTATTATCGGAAGGTGCGGGATCGAATCCCGTCTGATGTCTGGACCGTGTGGTTCTTTTTTAGTAAAAATTGTTTAGTTTAGTAAATTTAAAGCTTGTTGGTGGTATTTTTTATTCTGCTCTATCGCAGAAAAAACAGCATCAACTCAAAAAAATATTGACGTCTCGTTTTGGTAAGCTCTCATAGTTGGTGACATAAGCATAGTGAGATAAAAGTTGAATCTATCCATGTGAGACCCACGCTTCAATAAGAGCTAAATGATAACAAAAATAAGGGTAACATAATGATATTTTACTAACTTATAATGTTTCATCTGGCAAACAATAACAAATTGATGCATAACTACCTATAGTCAACTATTAAAAGTACAGTATAAAATCTTTAAAATACTTAGCTTTTGTAAAAATATGCTATTTAAAGTACCTACAATGAATTTTAAAAAATATAATAAACATACTCAATTCTATAATAGTAAAATAACTTAATTTATTTCTTTGTGTAGGGATGCAGAAAAGAATTTCATTCTTATACAAGCGTTCAGCACAAGTGATAATACCTATCTACATAAACATAAAAATCTCAAACAAATGTCCACTTGCGGAGTCACGATTTATCAAATTCAAAGTTTCAAATGCTTATTTAGAAGTTCTGGACACATGAGTTAAGAACCAGAACAGAGAACAGGGTTAAATAAATTGCTTATTTCACACTAGCAGACATTAAACGGGAGTTCAGCAAGTTGACTGTTGAAGAAAATAAAGAAAATTTAGGTTGCTCAAATAACACATCTTGCTAACGAACATATCTATTGCTTTCTTGGGAGTGCGTTGTTAATTTTGTATAATTTTCATTAAAATTCGGCATAATGTATGAACTTCTTATGAAGTTCTTAGAAATACTCAAGCGCCTTATCTAAGAACTGAAAAAGTTCACCTGCATTCCCAATTATAGTATAGTTACATTCAAAAGTAGTTAAATAATTATATAATATATTCCTAGCCAATATAAGAATCATAAACTACTATAAATACCTATACTATATTGCAACCAATTTGTGATTATAAATAAATTATAGTTTTTGTTATTGTAACGAGGTATTTATTTTAACATAACAAGAAACGGAAGTAAGTATAAACAGCAAGAATTTTCATGATAAGTTGAGGCTCAGTACTCAGTTAAGCCACAAATTTATTTTGTGAGGCCTAACTGCGCGAAAGTTTTCTTAAAAACTTTTTTGCAAAAAGGCAAAGGATTATATTATGTAAACATGTAAAATCTACTAGTTTATTTCTAAAAACACAAACGAACATCCAAATTTCATAGGAAAACACAAGTTTTATAAATGCAGGATAAAAAAATCTAAGTCTATTTTCTAAGGTAAACTATATACCTATTAGAATGTATGGATTTTGTTCGTCGCTCAAACACACCGAACATCACATACACACGTACGTATTTATTATTAACACATACTTTTTTGTGCGCTTACACCTTAGGCCCAAGTACGATTTTTTACAGCTCCGTAATCGTGTCGCATCGGTAAAGAGTCTATGAAAACTAAGCAACGCCCCTACCGGACGTAAGAACTTTCTGTATAAACTATGTACTCTGGTAAGAACCAAGTGGCTCCTTCCATACATAATTTGACGATGACGATCATAGAGGTATAAGAATGGAGTAGGGGAGTGGACTCTACTACAAGTGGAAGTGTCCCTCTAATAGAAAGAGAAAGAAGATGAGAGACCGCTAGCTTTCTCTCTCTAACCGCTCATACGCATTGGCAAGAGTAAGCATCTTTCTATTTCGATGTGATGCCATTGGATGCCATGAGTCACAAGAGAGAGTCACGATCTCTCATCTTCTTTCTCTTTCTACTAGACAAACACTTTTAGAGCCGCCTTCCCCACTCTATTCTTATACCTCTATGATGACGATACGATACGAGCTGTCAAAATTCGTGCTTGGGCCTCAGAATGTCTTAGGGTACGGCCAGAGTGCACTCAGATTCAGATTCTGATTCTGAAAACAAGCGCGAGAAATAAACAGTGTAGTCGAAGGGTACGGCCAGAGTGCACTCCTGATTCAGATTCAGAAAACAAGCGCGAGAAAAAGCAGGCAACCTGCTTAGACTACACTGTTTATTATAAATTCGAAAATGTGGAAGGTACTTAATATTTAAATAACAATATGACGACATTACTAAAATAATATGGTTGTAAATAATTATATGTTGTTAAAACATTTTGCAGGGAAACCTAATGATTTACTGAGACCATGCACTCTCAAAACGTTAGTTATACAAGTAAACATAGTTTTTTTTCTAACACTAATTTTAATGTCGATTTCATCACTTTATAATAAAGATTATCTTTACAAATACCTACATGAGTGTCTTAAATTTTCAAATTTCATATAATCTTGGAATAACGAAATGTCAAAATTAAATATCTCAATCTTCATCTTAATTTTTTCTATACATTTTCTTATTCAATTAAAATTTCAAAAAATTCTATTTGTAATCACCATATTTTTTTGAACAAAAATAAAGATATGTTACATTATAAATAGTACAAGATAAAATGACTTATTTACTCGACCAAATTTCTCAAAAATTGTATGAAACCGGTTAGAACATAATAATTTATCAAAACCCAACAAAAAACTTGAAAATGGGCTAGGTATAAACAACGAAGCTTGCGCAATAGAAATTTTACATAAAAAAGTCTACTGTGTAAGTTTTGTTTGTCTATGGTTTTACTCGAGATGTTTGCAGCTAACAAATATAACTGTGAGCAAGTAAGTTATTGCAAATTTCACAGCGAATATTTTCTTAATCGTGTTGGGTTTGTAAACGATAAATTGTAAAATATTGACATATAGCAACTCTAATAAACATAGAAAAATCACGTCTCTGGTTTGGCGAGTCTTATTTCTTAATTTTATTAATATATTTAAGTTATATAATTATGGGCAACAGATTTGCCTATCTACAATATTCATAAAGTACAGCCCGGATAACCTGAAAATCTAATTAGTATAATAAAGTTATATAGATAATTAATTTGTCAGTTATGCTTTGTTTTCAAAAGCATGAGAGAGCAAAGAAGTACAATTTGAGTTATCTTACGTTTGTTTGTGTATATATGCAATTGGTTTCAATATAAATAAAATGTTCAACTTTTAATATGGAAGTAACAAGAGACCATATATTATTGTCACAAAACAAATAGGTACAGAAGTCCATCTACATACAAAGTGACATATAGTCACCGTTTATGGATTTGATATCTCGGACCGGTTGACACCACTGCGGGCGCGAGTTTCATCCGTTTGACACGCGTCTGTGAACTTTTTTGAGCAAAAATGGAGCAACAAAAGAATTTAATTTATTAAAGATTTATTTTTATTAAGATAACTGTTCAGTGAACTAGGAGTTTTTTTTAATTGCAATATAAAAAATACATGATTGAATGCTGTACCTATCTGTTTTTTGGTATTGTTTTCTATAATGGCTTGACAGGTAATCTTAACCCTCACCCACCTTACCTTCAAATGATGAAGTCTTCATCTTCACGTGATATTTTAAAAATAAATAAAATATTTATTAATATTCATAAAAAAAATAAAAAAAATACAGTGTAACGGAGAGGTCACATACATATCAAACACACTTAGGGACAATACACACCAGCCCCTCTAGCATGACCACTGAAACGGGATATGATAAAGCGATATATCGGCATTAACTGTCAGACTACTATGGAGTTTGACAGTAGTCTGACAGTTAATGGCGATATATCGCTTTAACATATCCCGTTTCGGTGGTCATGCTAGAGGGGCTGGACCCGAAACGATACGCACTTTTTCCAAATAAAAACTTTATTTTTTACACAAAAAGATAAACATTTCTTTGATATACATCGAATATGCTCTACAGCGTTGCACTGTTACGCTACGCCCTGCAATAAAATTGTATAAAAGTTTACTTGTCGCTATCTCAGAAAGTGCGTGCCTGGTTGCGTTTCTGTGTGAACTGGTCCTTACCCGGTTACAAATGCTGAAAATTTCAATGTTTTACTAACTATCAAAACCATTAAATAAAAAATCAGTTAACGAATCTACTATTGTACAACCAGGAGCATAGACACTAACGTTAAGAAAATGGAACAGATATAATTTTGCACAATTTTAAATATTTTATAATTTCTATATTTGTGTGTACAAAATTGTATAAATAAATAATATTTAATTTATCAAAATATTTTTTATATGTATGTATGTAGTCATAGTATATTTTTTATATGTTGTATTTACATACCTAGTATCCTTTCCATTACACAGTAGTGTATTTACATTTAATATACACAGACTTAAGATTGCGATTTTAAACAGCATCAGGTTATTAATGTCCCCACTACTGGGGCACAGACCTCCCCTATGGATGGGAAAGGAAGATTTGGCCGTGACCCACCACGGGGGCCCTGTACGGATTAGTGGGTGCTAACGACTGCAGATGCAGCCGGGACAGCTTAACGTGCCTTCCGAAGCACGGAGCTCAAGAAAGATTGCTATTATTATTATTTTTTGCCGTTTATTGAAGATTGCGATTTAAAGTGATAGTATTTTGAGCGCCATCTTTGCGGCGGCTCGTTTTGCTTGGAATTTGTTGTTCCCGAAACCGTATACCGTATGCCGTTTTCCGTTCTTAGTTATGGTCACAGGAACCATGACTTTGGGTACATCGGAATCCGTCATTTGAGGTTTCCTGAAAGATAAATAAACGATTTGAAAAATTCACGTCGGAACAGCTACAGGTCAAGTTATCTAAAACTGACTGGAAATGAGTCAGATCTTTATAACTAGAGGCAGCCCACGACTTCATCCGCGTTACTTTAGTTTTTTGACGATACCACAGGAACTTAACATTTTTCCGGGATAAAAGTATCCTAAATCGAGTTCATAAACTATATGCGTACCAAGTTTCATGCAAATCCATTCAGTACTTTTTGTGTCATTGAATAACAAACATACAAACTTTCAGATCAATAATATTAGTAGGATTAGTAGCAAATAAATTACATGTTGTGGTAACATTATTGTCTGCCTATACATAGGAATGTTTTATTGCCTTATTATAGTAATAAGTACCTTATGTAGACTTCGTCTGCTTATAGTAATATATTTCCTATACAAACTTTTAATCTATCAAGCCCCGTTGAAGTTTTATTTTCTAGAAAAAATTACCTATGTCCCTCGCTCTTCAAAAACGCTTTTACAAAATTGGTATACAATTTTGATCAATATTGGTTCCCAAGCACGAATTTTGACAGCTCCGTAATAGTGCAGTCATTGTTAAATTTTGTGTGGAAAACCTAGTTTCTTCTTACGTCCGATAGGGGGCGCTGCTTAGTTTTCATAGAAACTTTGACGATGCAATACGATAATGGAGCTGTCTAAATTCGTGCTTGGGCCTCTCATAGGCATGAAAACGTAATTGGTGTTTTTATGCTCTTCGTATATGGAACTTATTAAATGGGTGATTTCCTTTCGTATTGGAATTCCCGCTTGCGATATATTCTTCTTCCTTACTGCATTCAAAAGTACAATCGTTTATATTTTCGGTCTGCTAGTGACTTAGTATCCTCTTCGTCACAAAAAGAAATTTCGCAAAAAGTGAGAAAAATCACTTCCCAAAAATCAGTACACACATGCATCTTGCAAATTATGCAGCACTCGTATAGTTTGCTACGGTATTCTTTTACCCTAGGTTTTCGGTCACCAATCCAATAACCATCAATTTCGAAAGTTACTTATCTTCCACAAAATGTAAGGAAAATAACTTACCCGAAATCATGCTACGGGATCAAATAGTTAATACTCCGCGGTAACTAATCCATTAACAAGCCATTGCGAAGGGTGCTTAACTTCCACAAAAAGTGGGAAAAAATATGTTGATAATTTCTTACCCAAAGTCAGGGCACGCGTGCATCTTCTCTAGCAACACTCGCACGAATGCTGAGTTATCTTTTAACAGTACTTTTTCGATCACCAATCCCTCGTATTCGTAACGTTTGCGAGTCCGAAATGTCATTGTCAAATGTGTACTGATTTTTAGTTCTCGTTGCGTACTTTGTGGCGCTGGTGTTCAAGTTTCCATACAAAAAATGACATTGAAATTTCGCACTAGATAACTATTCGAATTCGATATTGGTTCGTGCTAAGGGTACTGCTATTAATTCTAAGCGAAAGTTAACTCGCACAAAAATTATAGAAATAAACTTACCCAAATTCAGACCAGGGGGTCAATCGGAATAACGGAATTGCTATAGGTATTGCTATCGCTTACGATTTGATTTTGTTGTTTCTGACCGCCGAAAGTTTTGAAATACCTTACGCTTATTGTCTTTAATATTGTTGTTACCAATACAAAAGAAAAAAAACGAGTACGGGCATTTAAAAACCTTCGGCGGTCAGAAATAACAAAATGAAATCGTAAGCGATAGCGATAGGCATAGTAATCCCGTTAGGTGAATGGCCCTCAGGACTGCATCTTCTTGTGCAACATTCACATCTTGGGTTGCTGCGGAATCAAATAACTAGTCTTTTTCAGTCACCAATCACCAATCAACCACCCATCGCGAAAGCTACTTAACTCCCACAAAAAGTGGGGAATATAACTTACCCGAATTTAGGGCACGCGTGCATTTTCTCATGCAAGACATTTGCTGCAGGATCTTATCACATTACCTTCTCGATCACCAATCCGATAACCATTCATTGCGAAAGTTGCTTAGCTCCCACAAAAAGTGGGAAATATAACTTACCCGAAGACAGGTCTTCTGGTTATGCAAGTCTTGCTGCGGGAACTTTTTAACAGACTTCAAAAAGGATGTTCTCAGTTCCACCTGTATGTATGTATGTATGTTTGTCCGTGATTATCTCAAAAACTACTGATCCGGTTTAGAATGAGTTCTCGGTATATAATTGCGTATTTATTACAGTTCCTTCTCGGTCACCTATCCGATAACCATGCATTGCAAAAGTTGATTCATTTCCACAAAAACCATAGAAGTAAACTTACCCGAACTCAGGGCATGCGTGCATTTTTTCATGCAACACTCGCACTGGCTGCTTCGGAATTATCTTTGAGAACGCATCGATTTCCTTCCACATGATACGGTATATTACCGACCAAACAATCTGCAAATCCCCGCCGCAGTCTAGATATATACCACCTATAAGCGACTCGAATATGTCGCTCAATACCTGCGTGATAACATTTTGTATTTAGGTCAATTTATACTAGCGCAGAGTCGAAGCGCATCGACGCGTAAAATTCTTCACAACTAAAACGAAGTTGTACGAATGCGAGAATACGCTTTTGTCAGCAGCCCTGCTATTGCATCACTTGCCAGTTGATCTATCAACACAGGCTAATTTTCGACTGATGACGCGTAGGTTCGTTAGTGAGCGCGCGGATTTGCGAGAATGCGCGCGCACCAATCAGCGTTGGTCTCGCGCAGACGTGCGAATTCCGTCGAATGAGCGCGCGTCTTTTTATATCTCCGAAGTAATGAGTGCCGTTCGCTGTCGAGATAAGGTTGATTTTTTTATGTTAATAATTAGATTTACGCTTCGATGCGCTTTGACACTGCGCTAGTATAAATTGACCCTTAGGATCATAGAATATCTCGGTCTTACTACAAAAAAGTCAGACGCGGTTTCATTTCCTTTTTGTAGGACAGTTTTTCTTAAACTCGTGTTGCACGCATATCTAGCTTTTTTGTGGAAATAGTATACATCGACAGAGGAAGAGCAAAATCGCTTGTCTGCCACTTTGGTGCTGTTTAAAAATTTAAACTGTATAAAAACTGAATTAAGTTAATTTTTGAAATTTATTTATTTTGAAGCAACACCAAAGTGGCGTATAAGCGATTTTGTTTTTCCACTGTCGATATGTTTTATTAATCCTACACCTTTGTATACAGGCTAAAATAAGTGTGTTTAGGGAAATAGTAAGGATAATCATAATGCTATTTTTTGTGTGTGAAATACTATGATGGACTCGAATATTATGTCGCTCAACACCCGAGTGAAAACATTTCGTATATCAAGTTCTTAGATAATCTTATTTTTGTTAACCTGCACCTAAGTAAACAGGCTAATAAGATGTACGGTATTCCCCTAAACACTACTGTTGTAAGGTTTATTAAAATGTTATTTTTTGAAACGAAGTTCCCTAACGGACGGTACGGACTTGGCGGATAAAGGCTAGGTGAAAAAAAGCGTAAGACTTCTCCGTCAGTACTTTCGTAACGTATTATGTGTAGTTGTATTAAGTTTATTGATGTGTAACATCTTTCCTCTCGCTTTCCTGCAATTTGTGGGAGTGATTTCGTGAAATACGACGGAAGTGTGTAACAGGAAGTCGCTAAAGCGCACGCTATTTGATTTGATTTTAGAACATAATGTTCAAATGGCTTATTCCTTTTGTAGTAGTTTTTTTTTTACTAATATAAGGTGAGGTTTCAAATGTTACACATCATACGTGTACTACTGTAAGGCTCGCTGCTCGTTTTTTTTAACTTCATTTCAATCGAGTGTTTCAACACTCACGTTTGCTTTTTTGTGTGTGAAATATTATCTCGCGTTTCATACATTAAATGAAAAAAGTAAGGTTTTCACGACCACACACGTACAAGACATTGTGTACTTGAATGAGCGAAGTATTCCTCATTATACTGAACGTTTTATGAACATTCTATATGGTTGTGCTGGGAATAAATGTGACAAAAAGTGTAAATGTAGTAGATAATGTAATTAGTAAGTAAATGGAATTATTTCAAGATGATATTGTAATAGTCAAGAAATTAATTGGAAATAATGCAAAATACGAACTCCGCTAAAAATGGTTCCACGCAAACTGCGATCAAAATGGGCGGAGCGAAAAAACTGCAATCAACACTCCGATCATGGGATTGGTTGGGATTTCCATTTAACATTATCTTACCCAATAAAAGAATAGCCGAATTTATTTGCACATATTTGATTTGTCAAAGTATTTTGTTTTGTCTGTATTTGTATTGCGTTAGCATTGAAGTTTTTTTTATATGCGTTTGGAACTGTTTTAGCGGCCTTTGAGAGAGTACTGCTTCCATATCCTTCCTGATTCGTTGGTAATAGCATTTCTTGTTTACATCAATAAAGAAAAAAAAATATACTCACTTTTGGTACTTCAACATATTCGGCTAAATGGCATTCGTCTTCTTCAATCAAATACAATACGTCTTCAATGATTTCGTGGTCCCTTTGTTCCTGATGCTCAACAAATGCTATTATGGCACAGTCCAGAGTAGGATTAAGCTGGGAGCACAGATGCCTAAAAAATTATTGATTTACATAATTACAGCTATACAATGATGACCAACTATTTGTTCTTTTATTATCAGGTAAATTATTAAATAATATTGGCTGACAGAATCCATCGACTCGAAAATCAGAGTATGGAAACGTAGTAATCATCTGAAAAGTAGAAATATACGTAAAATAAAAAAACGACAGGTTGCACTCCGGGAGTGCCGGCAGAAGTGAAAACTTGAATATTAACCTTGTGCAGTTTTGATATTTTGGAATGGTTAGGGAATAATTTTGTACGAATTGCTTTAATTATCAGTATAAAAGTACTATCATTTATGTGGCAGTGTACAATATTTATTTATTGCGCTATCGTACACAAACATGACAATTTATATTACATTAAAAAGTTTATCTCTCAGAAAAATCAACTTACAAGAATCACATTAAAGCGCTCCTAGCGACATCTATTGTAAAAAATATGCATTTTCTTCGCAAAAAGCTGCCACCTGGACGTCCTTAGACTAGACTTATTATTATAATACGATAAAATAAAATATGACTATGTTTTGTCCAATATATTGAAAGTCAACAACCTTTACAATTTTATTGTTTTTGTCTTATGAATTTTCGATTAGGTCACGTGTCATCACGCGATCAGGCCACGTGTCCCGACGCAAGTTTAACAGTTTTTACCCATTACAAAAAAAGTGTACAACGCCGCTAAAGAAGTTTTCACTTCAAAAAAAAACTTAAAAAACATTTTAACAGTCATTCAGCAATGGTTAGCATATAAGTTTAAGCAAATTGTAAGATTTATTTTAACTTCATTTATATAGTACCTAAGTAAGATTAAGATCAACATCTATGTATATCTGCAATTTCTGCTGCGGCGGATGCTACATATTAACAATCGATTAAGTGGATTACATATATTATTGATAAATTTATTTTTAACCATGTTACAATAAATAAATTAAAAAAAAGGAGAGCGGCATTTGCTTCCACCCGCCCACAGCGGCTAAGATAAGACCCGCCGCTAGTACCGCTACGTCATTAACTGGGTCTTACGAAAAAAATCATATCAAGCAAACTTACTTGTAAATTCCCAATTTGACGACATACGAGGCGAAAGTGACGTTGTTCACCAGAGCTGACCGCAAGTCGGTCAGATCGCCCGGCTTCAGTTCCTCGCTGTTCTCGAATATGTGAGCGGTGATCAGGAAGTCTAGTATTGCGTCACCCAAGAACTCGAGCCGTTCGTATGAACGTGTCAGCCTATTGCGGATGTACGACGGATGCGACATGGCCTATGAAAACAATGACACGCGATATAGTGCGATTTAAACCACGGAAACACAAAGAGGAGTTGTTGTATAGAGGTATGGTCGAAGAAATCTTTGCAGTCCTCGAATATTTGCGCGGTAATCAGGAATTTCCAGTATTGCGTCACCCAAGAACTCGAGCCGTTCGTATGAACGCATCAGGCTATTGCGGATGTGCGACGGATGTAATTAAGAATCAGCTTAAATATAAACTCTTAGGGTTGTTGTAGTAAACACCCTTAGTTATATGTATTCATTAGTTATTATTGTTATGTTTAAGTTATACTTGATCAGAATGATCTCAAAGTTCAAGCTAATATATACCAATATTATATTATTACTAGCTGTCCCAGCGAACTTCGTACCGCCATAAAACATAGAGTTTGGTGGTAGAAGGGTGAAAATTAAGGGTTGTATGTATTTTTGTATGATGTATCTTAAAAAAATAAAAACAAATAAAAATGTCCAAAAAAAATATTAAAGGGTGGGCCACCCTTAACATTTAGAGGGATGAAAAATAGATGTTGTCCGATTCTCAGGCGTACTGAATATGCATATAAAATTTCACTAAAATCGGTCGTGCCGTATCGGAGTAGTTCAATTCCGCACACCCGTGACACGAGAATTTTATATATTAGAAGATAGATAGGTTAGAGCAATACCTTGACACTAAAGTTTTTAGTTTTATTGTTTGAATTCGATATTGGTTCGTCCTAGGGGAACAGTTTTATCTTACCTCTAACAAGTATGACGGATCTTTGAATTTGTATTGCAATATTTGTTCGATATCCTTTCGGCTGCTATTCAAGAGGAATTCCACATCAGCAACTGTCGCCTTGTTTTCCGATAGTACAGTTGGTATAGATTTATACAGGAGCTGGGCAAAGTTGTCCTATAATATTGAAACAATATAACAATAACATATTAGAAAAACTTACAACATGGCTAGCATGCTGCAAATCCTTTCTTTTGATATCCAATAATACACCCATATCATGGGAGTGCACAAAAAATAAACAATCCGCATCTTGGCCCATCCGCCACATTTGTCACTTTTCTATCATTACCAAGTACTTTTAGCATCGATACTTTAGAACTCAGTAACAAGTAGTATCGTGAAGTAAGTACCTACTTGTATCGGTACTCGGTCTTTCACTTACTGAGAAGAATCAGAAAAACTCATAGGCAGATTATTTACTGTGGTAAGGGGTTTTGCAAGTTGCAATTTTTGTTTTCTACTGCTCAGTTGGCAGAATTGGGTATGATTTATATTTATTCCAATTAATTCAGTCAGTCATTTGTTCATCGCGTGGCGTGAGCCGTTTTTTTGTTGTAGTAAAATTAAAACTGTGAATGAATTTGTAATTGTTCATCAAAATTTATCGATACAAGTAAGTATCGATACCTTTTATTCGATAGCGAGTAGGCATCGATATTTTATGACGGATTTTATATCGAGTAAAAGTATCGATACCCACATGGTATCGTTTCATCCCTATCCAGGGCTCCACGGTGTAGGCATGGGGTCAGGGTAGGCAACGGCGCGAGTGATATTTTTTGTATCCCAAGCGTCTATAGGCTATGGTGGCCGCTTACCAGCGGGCAATAAGATTGTTTGCGACCCTTTTAACATAAAAAATAAAACTAACCTGTGCCGGTAATATCCTCATCCACTCTAAGAATTTAACAGCGCCAAGCACACCGCCACTAAGCAAGTAAGTCCCGATGAAAGCTTCCACACAGTCGGCAACGGACTGTAATTAGAAAAACTCAGTATAAAAAAACGAAATATTCTTCCGGACACATCTATCGGCTGACCTAGCATTTTAAAGTTACATTGAGTAAAATGTTTATACGCAGTTTTAAAGCTGATTTATAAACCATCTTTTTGTGTCTGTTATTAAAAATATATTATTATTGCTCAACCAAACATATATTTTTGCTACACTTAGTGGGCCGTTAGATGTGTCTGGGAGTTTAGTTATACAGTGAAACCTGGTTAAGTGGGACCTGGATAAGTGAGAAACCTCTATTATTGAGAGTTGCAATGAGGTCCCGGTTCTTATTCATTAAATTACCTCTGTTAATGGGACTTTTTGAACCTGGTTAAATGAGATTTGAATTTTAAGACTCTTTCGATGTTTACTTCTATAATTGAGACTCTGTAGATCAATTACCTGTATAAGACTAATTAATCAGGTTGTAACACGTTTTGACATGTTTGTTTACATACATTTTGCGTCGTCTTTCGCGCATGCTTTGTTTGTCAGTACTATCTCAGGGTTTGACCTAAAAACAAGGGAATAACGGCACATTTCGACCTCTGTAAGCGGGGGCCTCTGTAAATGAGACAACTGTAATTGTAAACCTGCTTAATTTGAAAACTGGATTATTGGATAACCTCAATAAATGGTACATATGTCGTGGTCCCTTGAGATCCCAATTAACTAGGTTTCACTGTATATTCCTATGCAGAAAGGTGGCAATTTAAGTAATTTAGCTAGCCACGCCCAGAGCAGCAATCCTATTGGTGGATTTTTGCTGCACTGAGGATTAATAACCTCGCTTGTCTATAGTGAAACAGAATGGCTGCCTACACTCATTTCAATTATCTAAAAATGAAATACCTCCATATAAACTTCAATTTCAGAAATGTACAGACAGCCACGGGTCATGTTATCAAAAATTGTCAAATTTCTCAAACTGGTTTTGTTTTTTCTTGCTTGTTTTACGATTCATAATCGATAATAATGATTTTTTTTGTCATTTGTGGTAACTTGATGTGTGACTAACTGTATAAAGCAGTAGCATGAATATGATATATTGTTTTAAACTTACATTGTCACTAACAAAAAATATAAAGGATATTGATAATACAACTAACTAAAGAATGGATTCAGACCTTATCTGACACAGCTTGAGATTTGACATAGCATTGCATAGCATTCTGTGCGCATCCAAATGGCTCTTCTTCAGCGGCGTCATCCATATCCACATAGCGATTGTGTATGACGTCTTTGCTATTCGTAGACAGCTCTCCTTGCAATGCTTCGTCCCGTGGAAAATGCATGCCGATCAGGAAAGTAGGACGGAGCTGATGAGAACAAATTATTATTGTGATAATACGTTGTTTTTATAACTTACATCATTAATTATCATCATCAGCATATTAATGTCCCCACTGCTGGGGCCCAGGCCTTCCCTATGGATAGAATAGAGATTGGGTCATGACCCACCACGCGGGCCCAGTTTGGATTGGTAGGTAAATGTAAATGAACTTGAAGAGTTACTCTTCAAGTAACATACTTCATGTAAAATTATATCGTCTTTAACTACATCTACGCCACAGGTTTCCAAATCAAAGCGCGAATGATAGTCCTGAGCCGGCAGTTTACATGGCTATTCATGTTTGCTATTTGTAAACTTGATAAGAGTCTCACATTTTCATTCTATAGAGCATAATAAGAAACACTTTTTTTGTGACGCAGTCAAAACCTCTGTTTACAGACGACGGCGCCTTTAAGAGGCACACTGCCGAACGGAACTCACAGCCAGTATAATGCGATTCAACTAAGAATAGGACCGACCGGGCGCCATATTTTGTCGTCATAGCTGTCAATTCAAACCAAATAGGTAGAGTGAGCAAAAAAAAATCTATTTAATAAAACTTATTTACTTAGATCAAGGGAGAAAAAACATCAGATTTTTTAATAAAATTTATTTACTAAGATTGAGAGAAAAATCAACCGATTTTTAATAATATTTCTTTATTAAGACTGTGTGAGAAAAAAAAATGGATGCGTGTAACTTATGTACGCGCGTGAGAAGTTATACTTCTTTAGCATCATTAAAAATATTTTTTAATTGCATGCAAATAATTAATAATTACAATAAAATAATAAAAGGACTGGAAAAGGATAGTTAACACAGTCAATTAAGTTCAGTTTTAATTTGAAAAATTAAATAAATATTCAAAATATTCAATGAAAATCACTACTGAATTTAAGTTATTAGTCCATATGTAATTAGCACTTGTAAGTAACTAAAACACGTTGTGTCTATATAGAAACTAGAAACATGTGGATAAATAATATAAATATGAAAACAGTGATCAGAGGCGACGAGCGTGCCAACATTCGTTTTTGACAACGCGATCATCTTATGGAGCTCCGTGGATCGTTCAAAGTACCTTTCGAACAGATGTCTTATTATTACATTACATTTACATTACATATTTACATTACATTATTAGACACTAACATTCATAACGCGCCCGCGACCAACTTCATGGTGTTACAATTGTGTTACAGTGATGCGCGCGCATCTCGAAATTTCACTCACATGATTTTTTCATAACGCGCCCGCGGCCAACTTCATGCTGTTACTTTTGGGTTACAGTGATGCGCGCGCATCTATAAATTTCACTCTCATCATTTTTTCATAACGCGCCTAAAGAAGTATAACTTCAAAAAATCAGAATCTAGCTCTTCAATTCCGCTCACCGCATTACCGCCGCAGTAGTTATGAATAATCATGCAGGTCACATAAGAACATGCATCCTATATGTAAACGAAAGTTTTAAATCGAGTTTCTGAACGCAACATAATGTGACATTTGGTCGACGATTTAGGTTATCAACCATTCATAGCCAAAGCTCAATATCCAAAATGAAAAAAAATATCAACCAATATTAATTATCAATATTTGTTATTGTTTGTTTAAAAACGATTGATTTTTATTCTAGAATTAGCCGAGTGCTGAAAAGTATTCCGAGATTTTTTTGCAAACTACTTTCTTTACAAGCGACATTTGACAGATGGAGGTCATTGGCTTTCCTATTCTTATTTGAATCGCATTATACTCGCAAACGTCACGGGCACGACGGGGCTAACCCCTAAAGTAACCCGCGCCATTTACGAGCATGCTTAACGGCGTACTGTAGGCTAAAAAACCCTGCTAATATCCTCTCAGCTGCTTAGTGCGAAGCCGCGGGATCCCCGTTTAGGGATTCTTCCGCGTAATAATAAGGAAAACCTGCTGTCAAAATGTCAAATAGCAAATACGAATAGCCATGTGAAGTGCCGGCATGCCTTGATCTATATTGGGCACTTATCAGGCAGGCCATGAGCTTGTTTTCTACTCTTTTTAAACGACTTCAAAATAATTATTATGCATATCAGCGGATGGCAGCAACTTCATTTTACAGAAAATAATTTATCTACCCTTTATCGCAGAACTTTTAATATCATTATAATTATTATGCATATTAGCGGATGACAGGAACTTCATTTTACAGAAAATAATTTGGCATTAAGTCATTTATCAGAAATCTAAACTCACGATTTTGTAAGCCAGAATCATCTTAGGGCATAAAATTAATATTCACGATAAATAAAAATCAGAACCATCATATTGCAGAAATTCTGTCACAATCGTTTTTTAGCATACAAATATTTAACTTTTCCTTGTTTACTATCTATATCTGGTGGCTGGCGCTTCTGGCCGGTCGCTGTTCGCTCGACTCGAGCTAAGTTAAGGTACAAACATTAACCTAACCACTGGCCACAAACACCAATTATACCTAACGAATTCATGTAGGACAAAGTTTTGCCTGTGGTAATTATGCCTAGTAACATTCTGCCACCTTAAAAGTTTGCCATTATGAATTCAGACGTATTCGGACAAAAAATATTGATATAAAAAAAACTACTTATAAAAAGAAGATTATGCCAAGTGTGTTATGCCAAATGGATTTCTGAGCAACAAGATTCTGCCAGATAGAGGGAACCCAAATAAATACCTAAATCTAATAAACAAATAGCACAATATAACTGTTTTATTTGAATAGACCATTACTCATTACAGTCTTTTTTTGGGCAGTCATGTAAAAAACAATCATCGCAAGCGTTAATGAATGCTTTTGGATGACTTTTATTATGAATTAATTAGATGATAAGGCAAAATTTTGATCTAATACTACTTAATTTTTACTCAACTAATATCAAAATACAGAGAACCGCCAAAATCAGATCGGATGTCGAAAAGAGTTACCAAACATTTTATCGGAATCTATGTTTCAGATTAATTTTTACACAAAACGCAGGAAATTCCCCCACCAAGTTCTAGTTGTGAAGAAGCTAATGCAGCAGAAAAAGTGCCGTCCTGGCGTCCCGCCCTGAACCCAATCCCCTGCCTCGTGGTGCCCCAAATAATATCTCTGTAAAGGTCAGCTATAAGAACAGTTATTGAAATAAACTCTAAATGGAATACCTAATCTAATATGTACATAATAAAAAAAAATCATAGCACTGTTAATATACTATACAGTGCGTCCCACAGCATTGCCACACGGAGGGAAACTATATTAAATATTGAAGAAAGGATATTTTACTGAATGGAGACATCATTTTATTTTTAATACTCGCCTCCCACAACCGGGAATCAAACTCGTGAAATGTGAAAAAAAACACATGACGTATTTTATGATAAGCGTCGAAAGTGTAAATATAAGTATTATTTTTTTCTACATAATATAGAAATTTTAAATAAAAGGAAGTCATGAAATTTTACATTTTATTTAAAATAATGAAACACAAACTGCAACAAACAAGAATCGGCGCAAGATTTTCTTTTTTGTTTAATTATCAAATGTTCAAAATGTGATTCATTCTGTAGTATACAAATTGTCACTCTTAATTATTTATCTGCCTGTCGATAGAGTTAACTTTGCATGGTGAATGATTGAAATAACACGCCTAAGTTCATTTTGTAACTTCTGCAAATGTCGTGCTGGTTCTTGTAAAATATGTCTTTTCCATAATCCCACAAAAAGCCAGCCACATTGTAATTATGACCTCGCAAAGAAATGCATAAAAGTACTACAGTTTGTATGACTATTGCTTTTTTTCACGTACTTATAATAAGGACTTTGAAATTATAACGTTAGCTATTGGAAGCACGGAAGAGTCCGAGGAAGTTGGCCTGAAAACATTTAATTTCATAGTCCTCCTCTCATTAAAAATGCTATGTTATTTAGAAAAAACTCATACTTATGATTTACCCTTACGAAGGTTATCATAAAATACGTCATGTGATTTTTTCACATTTCACGAGTAAATATTCCGAGTGGAGCAGACAATTTAAAAAAATCTATGAATACAAATTCTACTAATTATTAAAAATAAAATGATGTCTTCTTTCAGTAAAATATTCTATTTTCAATATTTAATATACTTTCCTTCGTGTGACAATGCCGTGCCCTGTATACTACTAAAAGTCTGATTTCAAATGAATTTGAATTGATTTTGATTATGTTTAGTATCGATTTTGTTAGAAGCATGCATTATTATTATATCATTAAAATTAATATTTCATAGTTGCTGTGCCCGACAGGGCCCATAATCTGATCTGAGAATTTTAATCACCTGTAGTTACAAACATTATAGATTGCAATTTGCAATAAATGAGTTAAAAGTTAAGGTTCCTATCTATTAGAATCAGATTTTCTTTTTATTGTAAGGTAGATTAACATTGTTGTATTGATCATCATGTAGTGAAAAAGTGTGCTGCATAAAGCAGTGCTACACTGAATGCGATATTCTATAAAAAACTGATAATATAAAATGAAAAGGGCTCAGCGTTAGCCCAGGTTCAATTGGAGCGCCTGCCTGTTTTACAATAGTTAAATAAAACAACACAGTAGGGTATTTGACAGTATTAAAAATAAAGTGCCAATTGTTAGCATCTGTGTTTAGAATGGATATTGGCAGGGGTTTTTACTATTTTTACGAAAAAAGTATTCATAATTTTACTAAAAAGTCTAAAAACCCACGGAAAAGATAATAGTTTTCTTATTTATTGTCACGTGACCCAAAACGCTTAGCATTGGCGGAGCCTTAAATGACGTCACACGCAAGTAAACTTCCGGTTAAAGTGACATTACATTGTATCGTTTGACGTTTTAATAACAGTCGTGTGACGTCACACACTAGTAAGACGCCATATTGTCCAGAGAAACGTTTTCGCGGCAACTTGAAATTTGAGTTTTTGATTTGGTTATTTTTACTGAAATACACAACAGAATGATGAATATCC